AGAATATGTATGAGAACATGTAATCTTTTGTTTGGTTTATTAGCTCAAAGAAAGATTAAAGATTCTTTCACGATGTAATAAATAAAACTCTAAAATATTCTAATTATCAAAAGTATTATATTCCCGCATATTCTTTCCTCATCGTTTAAAACAAACTGGTAGCTCGTTTCAGATTTTTTAATGGTGCCTACCTCAGCTCATAAATTTTAATCGAAACGATGTCTCATTTGTTTTTAAAGAATTACACTATCAATCGTAACTATTAAAGTATTTGCCATATATCTTTATTCTCTATAACGTTGAATTCCTTATTTTTTTCTCTATTCCCCTGTGTACTTAAGTACTTTTGTTTTCTTATAATATTAAGTCAAAAAAAAATATATATTTCTTTTTTTCATAAATATTTAAATTATCTTTTATATTCGTTTCTTATTATATTTTCTTAAAGAATAAATCACTAATTTTTAAAGAACATTAATTATAAGAAAATTTTAATCTTTATCATGAATCTTCATTTTTTACACAATAGTAATTAAAAAAGATAAGAAGTAGAAAGTACGTATTACTGTATAAAAAAAATTTTAATATTTATCTTGTAATGAAAATCCTTTAATTGAAGACAGAATTCAAGACAAAAGAATTCTGATAACAACATAACTACGATAAATAAATAAATTTTTAAGTACGTCATTATTCTCATATGATTTCTATAAAGCCCTAATAAGTTCTCGAGGATATGTCCTCTTGAAAACGTAATACGAATGATTCGAAATATCATTTCTCAAGAGGATCGTAAATGTTTCATATCATAAAACTGAATATACGTACATAAATTTTATACTTTTGAAAAATGATAATGAGTAAACCTTCACGTTATAACAATGCAAATAAAATTCATGTTAATTCATATTCTATATTGTCCTCAATCTTATTTCATTCCATTTCTTTCAATTTCAAAAATAGAAAAATATTCCTTCGCATGAAAATTTCAATAAAAATATATCAAGAAAATGGATAGATTATTAGCTGAAACGAAAATTCTTAAATGTAAATTGGAATAAAAATTCGAATGTAACTATAATTGCAAAGAATTAATGAAATATTTTTCTCAAATAGAATAATGAAAATATAATAATAAAAACACTGAAAAAGAATTGAGAAAAATATTACAAAATACCAAGATATCGTTTTTAAAATGTCTCGAGCGAAATTTCATTTTGTCGATATTAGGAAAAATTAGATACAGAGAACAAATCCAATATAATATTTTTAATAGACATATTAACGAATCATAATTTCATTTAAAATTCAATTTTTCATCAGAATATTAATCATTTTCACAGCACCATTTTACTAAATTAGATTAGAGACTATAAAACGCAGCTATGCACGCCAGTCAATCAAATACTAACAGCGATAAATCAACTTGGGCGATACTCCTCCAGTAATTTATCTATTTCGTGTCCATATTCAACTATTTCGCTGAAATGTTCGCTGGAAAGATAATTAAACCAATACCGATAAATTCCTATTTGCACAGTTCCTCAATTGCATCGAGGTATATTCATTATCTTGTTACAAGAACAATTTCATGATAAGATGAATTGAACCATGATGAATCCTCATTAGTTTTTTATACGCAATTAATGAAATTAATTTTCAGCTTATCAGATGACAGTAATGAAAACAAGAAATAATTTTCAATATATACATAGATATACATTTATGTTATGAAATTCAAAAATTATTGTCGATATTGATAGCAGCTAAAAATTAAAAAATGTTTGCATGTTATATTACAAAATATTTATGTTGAATTTTTTTCATTGGGATTTAAATTCTAATAAAAAAATAAAATAAAATAAAACAGCTTCTAAAAATAATTAAAAATTAATTTAATATATAGTTTTACATATGAATTTATGGATTTATAATCAAATATATATGAAAATATTTATTTTCATATATTATAAAAATAGTATTATTTATTTTTCAAAAATTATTCTATCAAAGATTGAAAATTTTTTAATTTTATATCATTACTAAGAAAAAATTTTTACTACAAAAGAATCGATAATCGAATTAAATTAAATTAAAAATATTAAAGTAAAAAATCAACATTCCATTTCAAATAATTTTATATCTTCAACATTCGATTTTATCAAATCCCTAAAAAAACTATTAAAAATCCCGTCACGATTAAAGACACTCTCAATTATCGATTCAGAAGATTAAGATCGGAATAACAATTGTTATTGACCAACGACGCGTGGTTAAATATTGACGAGGGAGAGCAGAGCAAAAAGTAACTCGTTCGCCATAGAAAGCGGAAGTAGGGAGGCGGATACAAATGAGGCTACGGGGATGAGAGTTATCTCGCATCCTGCGGGAGCTATTCGTCCCTTTCCACCCTATTCTCCCTACGCTGTAACCCACAGCCGATCTGCCCTCTTTGCATCCGCCCCTGATAAGGGAACCGGAAACTCACCGAGGCGGCTGAGTCTTTCGGGCTTCCGGATAACGCGATGCTTCTTACACCCGTGGATTATCGACTTCGGATTGTCTTCGAGACAATTTCTCAGAACTGCATCTCCCACATCGCGGCAAAATCGCATGGGAAATGAAGTATAAATGTGGATCCCTTCGCAATCCTGAGATACGTAGGTAACAACTTTGAATCGAAAGAAATAAATTTATGCTCGTTTCTTTGGTATAATTTATCATGCGTCGAAATTTTTTACCATCGAATTTAACCATATGAGAATTTTTAATCGTTTTATTAGAAAATTTAAAAAGTTTTAATGATGATTAAGAAAAGAAATTTATTCTGGAAAAAGCAAATATTCGATCGAGAATATTTATTAATTATATAATTGTAATTTGATGATAAACTTTATGAGAATATATACTTTCATTTTCTTCATGATCTTTTTACAACGGCATGCAATGATATTTGTTTCAATTTTAATATATTTCTCGAAACGAAGATGGCACACGAAGAAAGAATCGACAAATTATTTCTTAGGAATTCAACTTCAGTCGCCATTCCTTGACTTTATAACGGCTGATCAGAATAATACGGAACGCCGGAAACGGGATGAGAGTCTGTATAAAAACGATTTGCCGGAATGAAATATCTGCTGAATCTGAGGAGCGATTCTTCGGGTTATGAAATTCTTAAAGGAGGAAATAAAGATATGCTGATGATCATAAAACCATTTCAAGATATTAGGGCTTTGTAATCACGTTTCAAGCAAGATTTTTATTAAATCCTTCTTCACCGATTTCCATTCTTATTCGAAACGTGCCTCACATTTCTTATATAATTAATATCATTATTATTAACATTAAAAAATAAAAATATTGAAATATTGAATAATTGAAGAAATTCGTAATTACTTAAAATTTGTATACATTCATCTTGTTAAAAAGATGTTATTAATATTAAAAACATATTATGACATGTTACTATGTGAAAAAGCTTTAGCTTTAATTTTATTATTTCACAAACAAATTAAATAAAATTAATCTAACAAATCTAGGAAGAATTCAACTAATTTCTTTCAGCAAATTTTTCTTCGCTATTTTTCGCTGAAAGATAACTTTCCTTTTTTACTAACTCAATAGTTTCCTTACGTTAACATTTTATATTTTTTCATTGTCTTAAATTTCCAAAAAACCTGAAGCTTTACTTTATCTATTAAAATCCACTAAAATCTTTATTTTATTATCCAATAAATTGTCAATTAACTCTTAAATAATTCCCTCCCCTTCTTAATAATAATCGAAAAGCAACGAAAAAAAGAAATTATTAAAATTATATGATCTAAATAAAAAATAACACAATGATAAATCCAGAAATAAAGATTTTAACTTGTTACATCAACTTTAATGGGTTATCGAGGATAGTCGATTTGTTTTTACGAGTGAACTCATTTATATAAGAATAAGAAAGAAGTCCACGCGTTCGAAAAGAATCACTGCACTTTCCACGTGGGACGGAAAAAGATTCGAGCTATAACTGAATTCAAAGAAACTATCAATATTGGCAAAATGTTCATACTTTATATCCATTTCAACAACTTTTATATATCAACATGGAATACTAGAATCTTTTCTTTATCACAATAAAATTTGGATTTATATAATTACCTAAAAGATATTAATAATTTGATTTTAATGTATGATAAATAAAAATGTAGAATACTTAATACTATAAATGTGTTGTACTCACCAATGAAAAATAATGAAAAATGAGAAAAAATATTGAATTACTTCAATATCTAAATATTAAAATATTAAAATTTTAGTAAATAAATGATATATGTGTGAATTATTTATTAACTTATAAAAAGAAATGTCTTTAAATTGATTGAAAATCCTTTTAAACATTCCTTTTTATCAATTTATCTTATCAAAAAGATATTTAACAATGAAGTAATACTAATTTTTGTGTAAGTCCTTCAATTCTTAATGATGAAACCGCTGTAACAAATAATATTAGTATTAAA